TCCGGGAGAAAGACAAACATGGCACATCCCGTGCAGGTCACAACAGCTGATCGCTCACTATCCATATTGTCTTCCTTCTAAGAGCCTCTTCAGATGTTGTACTTACTGCTCACAGATGCCTGAAAGGCAAAAACTCTGTGGGAACTCCCCCCAGCTGAACTCCCGCTGTTGGCTTCTCCTCTATTGGCCGCTCACTCGGTTTGCAACTGGCTGCTTTTTTATAAGGCTGCTGTTTGGAAGCAGTTGCCCCGGTTCAAAGCCTTCTCTCCAATCAACCACTCAAGGCCCACCTGGAACAAAGCACTCCCAGTTCACGCTTTTCAAACAAACAACCACCCAGTCAAACAGCTCCTGCAACTAGCTCCAGTCAAACAAATGGTCACAGCAGACAGACACTCGGATATTGACCCCACCAGCTCACAACACAGCCCCCCTAATGCAGCACTCACCGTAGCCCTTCTCGGACCGTTCCCAGGCAAACTCCCTCTGTTGGCTTCTCCTCTGTTCGCAGCTCCATCACTGACCTGCTCTGTGACCTTGGGCACATCCACTTCCTGTGTCTGTCATGTCTACTTAGAGTCTAAGGTCTCTGGAGCAGTCTCTTTGAATCCTGCCTAGCACAATGGAGCCTTAAGGCCCTACTGTCATACAAACCATTACCTCTGTGTTACAGTATCGAAGAGAACAAAGAAGCAGTGTAACTGCAGCAGCAGTTCATTACACCTCCACCTGCAGTCTGGCTGCAAGGGTAACAGTATTTAGAGTCTAATTAATGCAAATAACAGTGAAGGCACAAGCAATTTGTTGGCTTCAGTAAGCCTTGCATTGCACAAACTGCCTTTGCTAACCTACTTCTGAGAGGCTGCGTGGGAGTCGTTCTAATTGCTGCTGCTATTTCACCCACCATATCATGCGGCAGAGAAGTTAATCTAAAGGAAAGTGACTTTAAATGAGATGAATGTGCACACCATGGAGATAGCTGGTTAGCATTTTAAACACTTTCAAAGTCCGCTGAGGAAACGGAAAGTTGTTCTTTAAGCAGAAGAATCTTTCTGCAGGATAAAAGATGGCCTGTGTGCAGTTCCTATGAACCATGTAACCACAGCATGATTGGCACCGTTGCTGACAGCCCGGGCAGAAAGAGCTAGGATACCATGCCATATGTGAGGAGACTGAACTAACTTATCCGGTTTGGAAAAATGATAGTTTTTAGACAGAGATTTGACAAACCCCAAGCAGCTGTTGGATCCTGAGCCAGATTCTTGTTTAAAATTACACGGAAGGGGAGACTTACTTTTTCCTTCAAACAAGAGGTCAAAATTAAAAAGAGAAAACTCAGTACTCTGCTAGATCAGGGCTTGGTTTAGTTCATCATGCTATTTAAAAAATAATGCTTTCCCTATGTCTGTCCTCTTTTATGCTCGTCACAAGTCATGGCAAGCTGACACACCGTTTTAATTAGTGCTTTTCCTTTTTACGTAATCTTTGACCTTTCTAATTTCTTCCGACTTCCATGGTCAGGCTGTAGCGTCGTTCTAGCATGCAATTTATTTTCTTCTAGCTGGCTTTTTTCCCATTACGAGGCTCAAGATGACAAAACTAAAGCTAAATCAAGAGTAACGAAAAGGTTTGATTTCCCTTAATGTGCTAAAACAAAGATTAAAATAAATCCAACTGGCTGTGGTTGGAATGTGAATTCATTCCAATGAGCTCAGTGGAGTGGCACCAAGGATGAATGTAACTCGTTCATCTATAGACCTATGGCAGGGTGCGCGTGTTAATTTTATGTATAATTTTTATTTAAAAACTTCTTTTGCTCAGATCTTGCATTAGAAATACTGGGTTTTCTTTGGTTTTGCTGGCAAACTAGTGAAATGACCTCAGAAGGGTCAAGAGACTGTAAGAAGCATGATTGGGAGGGGGATGGGGTGTGTCAGACTGCCTAACAATCTGTGTGCATTTTTAATAGCTCTCTAAACCAGCTTCTACTAAAACTTGGGAGGGAGGTGAGGGATTCTCTTTGAATGAATTCACATCCCTTCTCCTTTTAATCTAAAGAGTGCAAGGTCTCCCAAACCAGTTCTTTAGTCCCCCAAGAAGTCATCTGGATAAAACAGTAATATCACCAATATTTTGTGTTCTCTAAGGTATAAAGCATACATACCCCCCCCCCGCCACAAAATAAAACCAACCACACCTAAAAACAAGCAAGCAGGAAAACATCCTTTTAAAGGAAAATAAAGCAAATGGAGAGGAACGTATGACTCTTAAAAATCTTACCTGCTTTTTCTTAGGATCAGCTGAAAATGTTAAGCTGCCAATGATAAATATGGGCCAGAGACCCCAGCTGAGGGCTAGGCTTTGGATGTTCCAAAGGTCAGAGGTGTGTGGATCGGGAGTTTTAGGAGGAGATTGTCAAAGCCACAAAGGGATGTGGAGTGCCTGCTTCCCCTTTGTGCCTCTGGAAATCTCTCTTTGCTGGAGTCAGCTATGAAATCTGCAGCTGGGTTTGCTTTCTGAATCCCTCTCATGTCCAGGGTTGGGGGGGTGTCCCTGAAGTTTAAGGTAAAACAAACAAAGCAACAATCCCCTGATTCTACTTCAAGTAACCTGTAGGTCATCACTGTTACTAATGTGTTTTCTCTGGCTTAATCACACCAGGGCAGTCTCTCCTCAAAGCAGATCGGGTCCAAAGCAAAGTAATGGGGGGTTTGAAACATAGACAAGGCCAGATCTTCAGCTGGGATAACTTGCCATTGACTGCAATGGAACTGGGCATCTGACTGCCATTAGAGTAGACTCTGAATACAAAAGGTAATTGAGAAGGGATCGAACAGAGTGGATAAGAGTGTGACAGCATAGAATAGTGGGATTTTCCAGCAATGAAAGAGCCAGCCTAGCCAATCATGGACTTAGTCTTATGTGTGTACCTAATAGGAATCCTGGATGAAAAATACAGAGAGGATCTGAGAGCTGCCCCGGTCCTTCTAGGCAAAGGATAGTCCCAATGCAGGATGCATCATGTTTCCAGGGTGTGGGAGGAAAAGACCTCATCCCTGGTGTACTCATTAAGAGACCACCTCTTTAGGCACAGCGTTGCATTCTCCATAACTTTGTGCCTAGCCCTGGGTTATCATTCACTTCCCCCCACCTCCCCTCATCCTCCACAGGAGGTTTGTCTCTGTTCGGTGGAAAGAAAAAACCCTGCAAGCTGGGAGCTGCTGCATAACTGATGAGCTCGGAGTGAGTGTTCATCCTGGCACAGAGCCAGAGCCAGGGTGAGGTGGCAGGCAGCGGCAAAGATCCTATTTCCCTGCAGCTGTTGTCCCTTCCCCTGCAGAATCTGCTCTTGCTACCTCTGCGCTCTGAATCCGATACCCCCGGCCTGCTTATAACCCAGAAGGCCACAGGCTGCTTTCTGCAGGAGAGCAAAGCCCAGGTGACCTGACAAATAGAAGAGTGGCTACAATAGTCCACGCCAGCTGTTCTGAAGACTTGTCACTTTCTCTGCCATTTAGCAGTCGAGGAAACTGTCTCTATGACTTTCCAGAGTGTGCCTTTCCCTCTCGGACCCGCTGTCTATAGGTCTTTGCTCTTGTTGCTGTCTAGGAATTGCTACTGCTCCCAGGAGACTCAGAACTAGGTACAAAGCCTCTTGAAGCCAATGGCAAGATTCCTTTTGACTCTGCAGTTCGGAGGGCCTGATCCAAAGTCGCTGATTTATTCCCAGGCAAAGGCAAACTGATGGAGGCCCCATAGCTTTCTCCCGCACTGGCAAGCTGGCATCTTTCATAAGCACCAAAGATTAAATCCGTGTTTACCCCCACAACTGCTACGTAGCCCAGGGAGTGGTGATGTCTGCTTCCTCACACAGGTGGGGAGTTACACACGGGGAGGGCCACGGCTAGCCCTGAGAATAGCTCTTTGTCCATGATCCTGCCATCCTTCTGGTCTCTGAGACTGAGTGCTGCTTACACTGCTAGTTCTCTGACCTGGACACCTGTTGGTGAGGAACTGAGTTGAGGCCACAAACTTGTTCACACAAGCCAGCCAGTGGCTGTTAGCTGGTGGGGGAAGTTTGTGCCTCAGTTGTTTTCACTTATTTATGAAACGGTAGTGTGCAGGGAAATGCTTAGATATGAGATTTCTGGTTATGATTACATCATGAAAACGTGGTGGAGCATGCTGGAGACATGCTCATATGTCCTCCAGAAACACCATGTAACCCAAGTGTACAGTGCCCACGGTAGCCTTTGATTTAACTGCATTTCCCATAAAACCTGACACCATGTTATGACTAGAAATGGCTCCTCCTTTTAGACTGTCCATTGTACTGCTAATTGTAGTTCTCTAAAGCTGGTTTAGGTCACTTTGTACATTTTATATTGTGATCTCTTCAGTTTTTCCTGGGTTAGCCAAACATGGGCTTGCTATTTGCAAAAGTTTGAGGGACTCCTTTGTAGGCATATGAGAGAGACAACGTGGGTGAGGCGATATCTTTTATTGGGGAGCAGGGGCGGCTCTAGCTTTTTTGCCACCCCAAGCACGGCAGGCAGGCGGCTTTTGGCGGCATGCCTGCAGGAGGTCCGCCGGTCCCGCAGCTTCGGCGTACCCACCGCCGAATTACCGCCGAAGCCACGGGACCGGCGGACCTCCCGCAGGCACGCCGCCAAAGGCTGCCTGACTGCCGCCCTCGCAGAGACCGGCAGGGCGCCCCCCGCGGCTTGCCGCCCCAGGCACGCGCTTGGAGCGCTGGTGCCTGGAGCCGCCACTGTTGGGGAGAGTGACCTTGTAGGACTGGCATTTCAGCCTACCTTTGTGAGCAATTGCCATGGAATATTATGGACCCTCTTTACTGAACACCAGACATGTGAGATGGCACTGTAGCTGGTATGAATACAGGTTTATACATGGTCTCCTTTCTGAAGCTGTGTCTGATTAGGTTTTGTTAACACTGAATGCTTTAACTATGATTTGTTTTCTTTTCTTTTTTTTTAAAGTAAATTGAAGATCCAACAGGACCAGAAGCCAAGGAACCAGCACATGAAGGAGGAACTTGCCAGCAATTAACTTTATTACATCAGCAAAAGCCATTCTGTAACATATTGACTCTCTCCCCCCCCCCACCACTTTCAATTTCATGGCAAATGTCCATTAAAGTGTGCACACAAATGTGTGGAAATGGGCATTCGATTGCATTGCTGTATATTAGGGCTCATTTGGAAAGCTGTCTCAAACGCCTAGCACAACTGTCTCCAGTGTGTGGTGCATCATCTCATAATGGTGCTATTAAAGGATCATTATATCATCTACATGTGCTGGGTGGCTCACTGGCCGGCGACACTCATTGCTTTCTGTTGTGCTCGTTACTAACTCTTGTTCAATTTAAAACACAACAAACAATTTCTGCCCTCTATGCCTTTCTTTCCACACACAAACCAGGAAGGGGGTCTAGTGTCTCTAGAGAAGGTATGTGCAAAGGGGGCAAAGGCTGTGTGGATTTATTTAGTCGCCTTCGTGGGAAAAGGTCAGCTCTTCAGATAAAAGGTACGTGCCGCCCCAAACATTGGGGTACAATTTACTGACAAGTCCTACTCTCTAAATTTACACAAGGGGACAGTAAATCAGAGTAATTGTACCAGCTTCCTCTTGCTTTATTGTGATCTCCCATCACAATTAATTAATTTGTGTAATTCTTTGCATATGCAAATAATTCAGTGTAGTGCGTGGTGGAATGGGGGAAAGGAAGGGCATACTGAAAAAGGGAAGGGAGAACCGTGCTTCTGGCTACTTGCTAGCAGCCAGGATCCTTCCCTTAGAGCCCTGCGTCAGTAGCTTAGCGAGATAGTAAATTCCTTAGGGGTGGTACTAGTCTGAGTAATCTTCCACAGAGCAGCAGTGACACTGTCGGCTACTACCTCCTAAGAGGTGGAGTAAACACTATAGTCCTTGTACCCTTTCTCCATAGCAGGTGGAATGGAAGAGAGAGAGAGCAGAAGCTCCATGGTAATGACAGATCCTGGTCCATGCCTTTTGAAATGATGATGCGTGAGTCAGCAAAAGACACCTTGACAGATCAGGGCAGAATGGCACAGAATGAGGGCAGACCCCCTCCCTGGGCTTCTAGTGTCCTGGTCCTAGGGTGACCAGATAGCAAGTGTGAAAAATCAGGACGGGGAGGGAGGTAATAGGTGCCTATAAGAGATAAAGCCCTAAATATTGGGACTGTCCCTATAAAATCGGGACATCTAGTCAACGTACCTGGTCCCTCCATCTGTGGAGTGGCAGTGAGGATTGCAGGAACGAGTAGTTAGAAATATAAAAAACAACCCAACATAAAAAATAGGAGTCCTAGGTTCTATTAGAGGTGGTTGGAAACTTTTCTGACAAGAGTTCCATCAGAAAATGCTGATTTGTTGAACCCAAAATGTTTCCCAAAACCAGTTCAGTTTTGTCAAATGGCAGGTAGGGTCCTCCCAGATCTCTCCCTTCCAGAAAACCTGCCTGGCTCCCTGCAAGCTAAGCTGGGGTTCCACCTTCTACCTGCCCTGGAGCTAGAAGCCTGAAAGTCCTGGCTCTGCAGCAGGGTCTAGGGGCCAGAAGCCTAGCTCCAGTTTAAGCTAGGGCTTGCAGCCGCCTGTCACAGCGCCCGGGATACGGAAGCCTCTCCTGGCTATGCATCCCCTGCCCTGAGGACAGCTGGGCGTTTGATAGCTCTGGGCTCACCTGGGCAGTTCATACAGCCGGGCTTCCCTGGAGCAACAGACCATGGGATCCTCCCCAGCGGCTGAGTGCAACTGACACGATCTTGTCAGTTTCATGCAGGGCCACTGAATAGCAGCCATGAAACTGAGCAGACTGACTAGTTCTATTCCTAGCTGTGCCACTGACCTGCTCTGTGCCTTTGTGCAAGTCATTTCACTAGTTGTCCTCCGACTCCTATTTGGTGCTTTTAGACTGAGAGCTCCTCAATGAAGGAACTGTCTTACTGTACGTCTGTACAGGGCCTGGGGGGGGGGGTCTGTATTTTACCTGAAGCCTTTGTGCACTGTTGTAATAGAAACATCTGTATGGTAGTAGAGAGTCTGACCTCAAAAACAACACGAGGTGACATGCACACGTGAGAGAACATGGCTCAGAAGAAAGATGAAGCTTTTACAGTGGGCTCCCTTACGTTGATAGAAATGTTGACACAGTAGTTGTCAACTGCAGACCTATAATTAATCTATAATTGAGGCTGGTAGTTAGCTAGCTAATCAAATTGCTCACTCAATCCTGGCTATTTAATAAATTCCAATTGAAAGGGACATGCCATTCCCACGTTGTCTTATTTCATTGATGGTGACACTAATAAGGAATGGACTGGATCAAAATGAAGGGGTCTTTGTTCTCCATAGCAGCAGCACAATGTAATTCACAGCTGGCAGAGCACAGGGTAAGGGTTATAATTTCAATGACAAGTATCTGAATTAGGCAACCTCTAGTATTAGTCCGAGTCTTCCCCAGGGCCAGCTCCAGGCACCAGCGAAGGAAGCAGGTGCTTGGGGTAGCCAATGGAAAGGGGCGGCACGTCCAGGTCTTTGGCGGCAATTCGGCAGCAGGTCCCTCAGTCCCTCTCGGAGGGAAGGACCTGCCGCCGAAGTGCCACCGATCGCAGCTTTATTTATTTATTCCCCCCCCCCCCCCCGCTTCGCCGCTTGGGGCGGCAAAAAAGCTGGAGCCAGCCCTGGTCTTCCCTGTGCAGGTCTTTCTGTCTGTCTATCTATCTATCTAGATTATTTATTAGCCAAGTGTGGAACTCACCCCTCTGCACCATCATAGCTGGTCCAAAGGGACACCAGCACTTTTCAGTGAATATCTACCGGGCTGGCCCCAAACCCCATCTGCTTTATCCCCCGGTCTTTCCACCCAAGTGTCCCTGCTGCAGGGCTGGGCCTGGGGAGGCCCAGCCAGCGTGTTCATACACCAGGGGTATAATGTAGGGCAGCCCTTCGAGCTGCTCTAACCAGTGCCCGGCTCTGAATCGGTCCCTGGCAGGTCCAGGCTCTGGGGGCTCAGCACTGTTACAGGGAAGGACTGTGCTTGACATGGCGGCATTTGGCAGCTGGCTAGAAAACTCTGGCTCTTACCTAAATGCTCAGAATAAAAGGTTGGGGTTGTGTTTGTAATACACACTTTTCATACAATCCATAGACAATCCAGTGTGTAGAAACCAGAGCTTCTCAAGCTGGGGCTTCTGACCATCAGCTCTGTCTTTAAGAACCCATGTGAGTGCGATCTCGGAACTTTTCTCTGTTGTAATAGAGGGTGTTACAGTAGGAAAAAGGTTGAAACCTCGCTGCTAGAATCCATGGGGCTCCTGAGCTTTGGGTGAAATTAAGCAGGGATGGACAGAAGTGTAAAGCATTGTCCAATAAAAGCAAGTACCATGCCACTGAAATACAGAGATGGGGGCATTTACCTCTGCCATTAACTGCTCGTACCTTTGGATTGATCTGGAACAGTTCAGTCAGGGTCAGTCTGCTGAGATGGCAAAATCAAAGGCTAATTGGGTAGCTGTGGAAAGGCGTGACCCTGTCACATGACAAGGTCATCAGAATAGACAAACCTACAGTAAAATTTTTCTCTCGTGGCAGATTAAAGAAAGCATCAAGCAGAGTTTAAATCCTTCCCGCTGTCATTGTTTATCCCAAGCATGCGCAGCATCAGTTTGATCTGCAGCCAACCCGCCAGACTCCGCCACTCGCCTGTCTCCCTGGATATGTGCCATTGTACAGAAGATGGAGGCTTGGCATTTTATTCCCTATGGGACCTTCCCAGTTTGGAAGCCTGCTGACCTTTTTTTTCTGTAGGGTGACTTTTTCATGCTGTTTCCCTCTCTGCTAATTCACTTTCCAGACTGCAGCAAAATAGTCCAATGTCGTATGGGTTTCTGTCCTTTCAATGCAACACCATGGAATCCGAACTCCAAGATTACAGCGTACTAGCTGCAGGATAAGAAAGGTGTTGAAGAGACCTAGGGGAGTGGGCAAGCAAAGGAGCATCTGCCCTCCTAGGGGCTTAGGTGTCCTTTGTCTGTGGAAATGGAACAGAAACCATCAGCCATGCCTTCATTACAATATATGGCTTTGAGTTTGCGTCTGATTGCCAAAGACTGATACCTTACTGCAGGCACATCATTTTTGCAAAACAGCATCTTCTATATGTGAGACCTTATCACAGAACCACAGCAACGTTGAGCTGGAAGGGACCTCAAGAAGTCCAGCTGAGGCAGGACAAAGTAAATCTAGACCATCCCTAACAGGTGTTTGTCCATCCTGTTCTTTAAAATCTCCACTGAGAGGGATTCCACAACCTCCCTTGGAAGCCTGTTCCAAATCTGAGCTATTCTTATAGCTAGAAAATTTTTCTTAATATCTAATCCGAATCACAGAAGATTACGGTTGCCAGAGACCTCAGGAGGTCATCCAGTAAAACCCCTGCTCAAAGCAGGACCAATCCCCAACTAAATCATCCCAGCCAAGGCTTTGTCAAGACAGGCCTTAAAAACCTCTCAGGATGGAGATTCCACCACCTCTCTAGGTAACCCATTCCAGTGCTTCACCACCCTCCTAGTGAAATAGTTTTTCCTAATATCCAACGTAGACCTCCCCCTCTGCAACTTGAGACCATTGCTCCTTGTTCTGTCATCTACCACCACTGAGAACAGCCGAGGTCCATCCTCTTTGGAACCCCCTTTCAGGTAGTTGAAGGCTGCTATCAAATCCCCCCTCGCTCTTCTTTTCTGCAGACTAAATAAGACCAGTTCCCTCAGCCTCTCCTCATAAGTCATGTGCCCCAGCTCCCTAATCATTTTCTTTGCCCTCTGCTGGACTCTCTCCAATTTGTCCACATCCTTTCTGTAGTGGGGGGCCCAAAACTGGATGCAGTACTCCAGATGTGGCCTCACCAGTGTCGAATAGAGGGGAATCATCACTTCCCTCGATCTGCTGGCAATGCTCCTAATGCAGCCCAATATGCCGTTAGCCTTCTTGGCAGCAAGGGCACACTGTTGACTCATATCCAGGTTCTCATCCACTGTAATCCTCAGGTCTTTTTCTGCAGGACTGCTGCTGAGCCAGTCGGTCCCCAGCCTGTAGGGGTGCATGGGATTCTTCCATCCTAAGAGCAGGACTCTGCACTTGTCCTTGTGGAACCTCATCAGGTTTCTTTTGGCCCAATCCTCCAATTTGTTTAGATCACTCTGGACCCTACCCTCCAGTGTATCTACCTCTCCCCGCAGCTTAGTGTCATCT